AAAAGGAAATTCAACCTTATCCCACTTATGGGTAAAGTCGATTTAGGCAACTCGGGAAGGGAATGACGTGGCGAGCTTAAAATTGTCGCGTTCCCTTAGAAATTCCGGACAGCATCAGCTGTGAAAATTGCATGACCTCAGAGCTCAGCGTTGGAGAGTTTTTGTTGCTTCACACAAACAGATGTATTTTCTGCTTTATGTTGAAGAGCGAGCTGAAAATAGTCGCGTTGACTTAGAAAATCGAGACAGCTACGCCGCGCATTTGTGCGGGATACACGCCAAAGCGGAGGGTGGGGGGGTGACGTCAGCAGGCACACTGCGTGACGCTACCGCATGCGGGTACCTGCTATGACGTCACCGCTCACTTGCCGTGCAATAGATTATATCAATTATTGCCCCATCCCCCCCCCCCCCCCCAAAAAAAATACAAAAGTCTGTTTTTATACTTTTTGCATTGTGTACAGTCTGGAAGCTTCGAGTTTGCAGCATGTTGGAAAGTATGCTAAACATTTCGAACAGACACATTCACAAATGTCCCTTTTATATATATAGATAACAGTCAACACTCCACACGGATTAGATAAAAAAAAACTCAGATAAACTAAACTTTTTTTAAACTAAACTTTTTAGTTCACCAGGAAAGGCCCCCTGAGCTATGTAGCTCGTTTTCAGAAGCGATCTGGCCATCACAAATGATAGCTCAACGAAGTGGCTTATCACGTGGAAATTCGTAGCAGCCAAATTACTCTAAACACGTGTTGTTGATCATCCTAAATGTGGGGGAAACAATCGGACGACCCGGAGAAAAATCCACGCCACCACAGGGGGAGAGAGAGAACATGCAAACTACAAATATACAGCATCAGGATCGGGTTTCCCCTTTCTGGCAATTAAACAGTTGTGTTAAGATGTTTAAACACCAAACTGAAACCTTTGCAAGGAATCATGTCTGCATTAACCACATATACTTGTGGTGAACATGCAAAAAAAAAAAAACATGCTCTGACAGTATGTGCATTTTCTTGGTTGTTTCGGTAAAGTCACGTAGAAGGGAAATAATAAAATAATAAAAATAAAACATAATAAAATAATTATCACGACGTTTCGGCCACAACGCAAGCAGCCGTCCTCAGGTGACCGTCCTCAGGTGACCTGTTCTTCTTTACCGAAAGAACCAAGAAGATGAATCCCTGCAGTCACGAAAGCTTTAAATAGAAATTTAGTACGGGCATTGTCTTTGAAACCGATTGGTCCACACCAGAGACACCTTTCTTTAGAGCCGAGTCTCAAACAGTGTTAGACCAGAGGACGCCAAAAGGCGTACAGCACAAAGACAATGCACTATCAGGACATGCAGACGGGATTCCTTGCAAAGGTTTCAGTTTGGTGTTTTCACATCTTAACAGCTGTTTTATTGCCAGAAAGGGGAAAACCCTTTAATCATAATTTAATACTGGCAAAGGAGGTCACATGATACATCAGGATCGGGATTGAACCCACGACCTCCTGTATACCAGGCGAGGTAGTTAACACCTTGCCACCGTGGCACCAAATAGTACTTTTTATTTAAAAGAATGCCTGTGCTGTCACCTTCCTGGCCAACGTTGCAGCCTAACTTGACATCACCCGGTCGTGCTCGGCAGCCTCCCATACAAATCGATAACCCAGGCCATGGGTGGAAAAAAACAGATTTTTCCAGCGGCAGGCATCGGGGTTTTTTTTTAGAACCAATTAAACCGGATTTCTCCCAATCTCAGATGATCGGGTTTCATATAAAAGACCCGATTGTAAAAAACCCGACTGTGCCACCCTTGACCCAGGCTCAACCCCCGCTTAAGCTTCTGAGACCCAACGAGACTGGGGCCACCCCGAGGCAGACGGTACCGTCTGGGCCGTGATGTGGCCAGCCCCACGGTGCTGTGTGGGCCGCAAAGGGGTGGGGCGAGCCACCCCCAACCCCACCTCCCTTTCTAAAATGCTAATAGCAGCGTTCTTCACTCATTGTCAGGGCGGGGGGCACTTTCGCCGATAAGACATCATCGGTGTGATGGCCGCCGGACATTTTAAACCATTGGGGGGTTTGACAGCAGCGCGATGGTGCGTTTCCACTTGTTGTGTATTGTCGGGGGCTGCGCTAAAGGCCACCAGGGGTCCGCCAGTAACCTAAGGGCCTCGCAGTGAACAACGCTGGTGTATAGCAAATGCAATGGGCAGTATGTAGGTACAATATTTAACACGAGTAGTGGCTGACCTTTAAAGGTCGCCATTTGGGTAAACACCCAACTCCGTGCGCAGCCGTCCCTGGTCTTGTATGAGGGCCTCGGAACGTGAGCAGAATGCGGGACGGGGCAAGCGAGGCTCGTTTCGTTCCTCACACTGATTGAGTTACGCCGAGCCGTGAGCGTCCTTCGTCAACAAGGCCACGTGGCGGGCCTGTGCCGTGCGTGGGATACGCGTAATCGCCCAACTTGAAAACTGTGAACAATAACAAAAAACAGCAGCTGGTGTTCAACGTTGCATCCACATTTGCTACATTGCGTACAATACGGTGTTTCGTTTAATCAGCTGTTTACACGACAAGGAAACGGCATGTGTGCGTACTTTTTTTAAATAGGAATGTGGAATGTCCACCGCTGGTTCGTCACTGTAAAGTGGAATAAGCAATAGCACGTGCTCAATTGAAACTCTGATATATTTTTTATTTGCTTTATCTTTTGTCATTATGGTGACTGACCCAGGTGGTGGTGACTCTTGCAAACGAGTCACTCATCCTGGTGTCACGAGTTCTCAACTCACGATCCACCCGAAATTGCATCCCCACAAACCGTGGCAGATGCGGATATCTGATGCACATTCTAGATTTGAAGCTTTCGTGACATCTAAGGATTCATATTCTTAGGTTTATTCGGTAAAGTCACGTAGGTAAAAAATAAAAATTAATAAAAGTAAAATAAAAATAAAATAAAAATCACGACGTTTCGGAGGCAACACAAGCTTCCGTCTTCAGGTGGAACCGTCACAGCACGATTGCTGCTCTTACTTTATACAGCAATCGTGCTGTGACGGTTCCACCTGAAGACGGAAGCTTGTGTCGTGATTTTTATTTTATTTTTATTTAACTTTTATTAATTTTAATTTTTTAACTACGTGACTTTACCGGAAAAAACCGAAGAATATCTGATGCACAAATGGAAAATGAAAAACTCTCCAGTGGTCATCCAGAACAGGACCGGACAATATTATCACGGCGCAAATGCCCGATCCACAAACACGCTGGAGACATCACAGCGATAGACTGTGCGAACTGCTTTTTTGTGTTCAGTGTTGTTGTGGTCTTTCCACCGCACCTCCGATTAGCACGGCTGGCTACGTACGGTGCGAAAGAAATAAGTTCAACACGCATAACGCATACCCCGCGGTTGTCTGCCTTGACCAGCTGAATGTTAAATTTGCGGTTGTTGCTCTTGCATCTCCATCAGCAGCTGAAAAAGAATAATGGAGAAAAAAAAGCCACGTGCTTCAACAAAATCAGCGACTCGGCCGCGACTGCCATGATTTCACAGCGACTCATCCTGGCTCACCCCCACCCAGTGCCCCACCCAGCGCCCCACCCAGCACCCCACCCAGCACCCCACCCAGCGCCCCACCCTGTGCTGATAAATGGAGACACACACCACGTAGATTGGAGGCAACCCGTTAATTAACACTTCCTTAAATCGGGACTTTTACGGAACTGGTGCTATAATCGGTGTAGACGTCTCTATCACTCGACAACCCCCTATACACGAGGCTATTGGAGACCGGACCCACCGAACATTAGGGGCCATCCATAAATGACGTCACGCGATTTTGGACGATTTTTGCCCCCCCCCCCCCCTCGTCACACGGCGTCACAAAAGTCAGACCCCCCCTCAAATATGATGTCATGCCCCCCCCCCAAAATAAAACATGCTTCAAATCGCTTTAAACTATTGTCATTGTAGTGCGTATTTAATGTGGCGCTTCACTCTGATGTTGTAGGAGAAAACATTTATCAAAAAGTATATTTACTTAAGTAGAACGTATTCTTAGGTTTTTTTCGGTAAAGTCACGTAGGTAAAACATCAAAATTATTTTATTTTCATTAATTTTGATGTTTTACCTACGTGACTTTACCGAAAAAACCTAAGAATATGAATCCTTGCAGTCACGAAAGCTTCAAATCTAGAAGTAAGTAGAACGTGTTGTCTATATTTATTTTAAGTTGCGCATTTTGATGTGACGTCACACTTCTAACCCCCCCCCCCCCTCGTCACACATCGTCACAAATGCCTGACCCCCCCCCCCCCACTAGGTGCGTGACGTCATTTATGGACGGCCCCTTACCCACTAAATCGACCCTCGATCATCTCCGCGCTTCCCGTGTATGCTGTTCAGCGCTCTGTCCCCCTAGTGGCGGATATACCGTCACTACACTATTAGCAAACTAAGCAGACGCAGGGGCAGATAGTCCGGCACTGGGTCCACACCATGCGAATGTAGAATGTTGCTTGGGCAATGGGACACGTTATCCTTCCCCCTTTGTTTAATTTTTGGGCGCCTAATATTAAACGGTTGCAGCATTCCATACAAACCAGGTCAACATACTCGGGCATCATGAACTACCAACGAGCAGTGCCGGATTAACTATCCGAGTAGAAAAAGTAGCAAACACTACGGGCCCCGCACTTTCAAGGGCCCCGCGCTAAATGCTTTCAAGCTATCAATTCCGATTCAGTGTTTCTGCACTTTCTCTATTACTATAGTACTATACTGCCTTCAACTTGTATGAATGACTGAGTGTTTAAGGTTATCGATTTGTCGTATTATCTGGCCTGTTTTGCAAATGAAAAAAATACAATTACTTTACTGTTCAAGTTAAACATTCATGTGTTTTGATATTTACGTGTTCTTTTTCTTATTTAGGGCCCCTCTATAACATCATATGTTTCATCCGGCACTGACCCCCACCTCTCTCCCAGGCGGCCAACCCGTACCTCCAGGGCCGCACGACGTCCGTGGGCTCGGCAGGGCGCTTCCGCTGCCCGTCGTGCCGCCACGAGGTGGTCCTGGACCGCCACGGCGTCTACGGCCTCCAGCGCAACCTCCTCGTCGAGAACATCATCGACATCTACCAGCAGGAGTCCACCACGCGGTGCGCACACATTCGCACGCGGAAGGGGGAACAACGATCAGCCAACCGCGTAGCCTTCACGCACCTGCGATGAGCACGGTTGGCTGTGTATGGTGCGAGAGGAGGTCAACGTGCGCGCGCGTACGGGAAGTGTCGGGGCAAGCGCTGTTTTGTAGCGAGTAGCAACGTACACAGGCGGGCACGGCACGCGAGGGGGTTGGGTGGCCAGCGCCATGTCTCCCACGCACAGCACCAGGTACTCATTTGAGGCTGAGTCGACCTACGGGAGGCCCATTACCGGTTCAGATAATCGTCACCGGTGTTGGCCGTTGAGCTTTCCAATAGCGCTGTTGGCTGCCCTTGTCCTAGATTTTAAGTTTTCGTGACTGCAGGGATCCATACTCTTTGGTTCTTTCGGTAAAGTCGCGTAGGTAGAAAATAAAAGAAATTAAATCACGACATTTCGATTGCAACACAAGCAATTATCATCAAGTGAGAAAACCACGGCAAGAATTCTTTTTTGCTGAAGTGGGAGAGAGATGCCGTGGTAAGAGGTTATATAGGTAAGAGAGGGGGGAGGGGCAGAGAGGGGGGTAGGGGGAGGGGAGTGTTGCGTGGACGCTCGGAGAGGGACGTGAAGCTGGACGGGGGGAAGTGGGCGGGGCTGGAAGTGGGAGGCTGAGAGAACTGGGGATACGCGGGCAGGAGGATACAACAACAACGCCACTGCAGCAACAATGCCAATGTAGCAGCAATGCCAAGTGCTGGTGATGCAATTAAATCGGCAAAATAGACTAGTGCCCGGCAAATATGATGGAACAACCATAAAAATTTAAGGTTTTACCTGGTTAATAACATCCTTCCGATGATTGCTCAATTTGTATCCATCTTCTCGGTTGAAGTTATGTCTATGTTTATATATCTGGACAAACCTTTGATAGTAGCCCGAAGGTTTGCAGAGCACCTTGGTCTCGGAAAAAACAATATCATGAGAGCCCACATCATTATAGCAATGGTCAGCCACGGCAGAGGCATCAGTCCTTCCGTGTTTCAGATTTGCCTTGTGCTCGCGAACACGGTCCGAGACATGTCGTTACGTTTCCCCAATGTAACATCCACCACAGGTGCAATTTAGTTTGTAGACTCCAGGATATTGCATGTCAGGAATGACATCCTTCACAGATGGGATTAGATCACGGATTTTGTGTACTGTACTGAATCGGACCTGGATCTTGTGTTTGTTTAAGATTTTGGAAATATTTTTGGTAACGTCTGCTATGTATGGTAACGTGATGGTTTTGATCGGCGTCTCAGGGGGTTGTTTCTCCATGGTTGGAGAAACAGCTTTGCGGATAATGGCCACATGGCCTGCCAGCATTGAACCAATTTCTCAACCACATTAATTCCATACACCCATCCATCAAATTCACCATGGAAGTGGAGAAGGATGGTAAGCTACCGTTCCTGGATGTTTTGTTTGAGAAGAGACCTGATGGCTCTTTGGGACACTCTGTCCCAGCCAAACCACGGATATTTGGTACGCTGAGTTATGTGTAGCCATACAGACTCCTGGCTCAAGTGCTGTTAGCGAGCAGCTGTCAAGGTTGGAATGGCACAAAACTGGTTGCTCTGGACAGAATTGTGCCGGACGGTCTCTGTCTCAGCAGTGCTGATGTACACGCAGCAGCACAGACCACCACAGGCACTCGTTTGAGGCCGAGTTGAGTTAGGGGAGACCCGGGACATGTCCAGATAGCACTTGCAAACTCACGTTTGTCGATGGCGAGTGGTAACGCAGTGTGCCAACCACTGCACCACCGCAGCGCACACAACGACATTCAACCACCACTAAACCTTGCTTATTGGCTGTCGGGTCGGATCGAGGAGGGCTACCTGAGAGGTTACATTAATAAAAGAGAAGCGGCTACGTCCGTGCGTGTCTCCACGTGGCACCGTTGGACTGACACGGGCAGCCCAGAAGCGGCCACAGAGCACAGAGCTCGCACGTGATAGCTGACGACGTCAGGTCCCTTCTGGACGCGTGAAGGGTTGTTGTTGTTGGGGAGGGCGGATGGGCTTCCGTGCCGCTCTGTCTCTCTCCTCTCAGCAGCTGCTGTCGCTCGTCGGCTTTCAAATACAGCCACGGCGCCGTGAGGCACAGACGATCGCCACGGGAACCTCTGCCTCGGCGCCGTCCGTCTCGTCGCAGTCACCCCGCTGTCGGTGTGCCACTCGGTCGGCGGTGGCTTTCGCGTGGCCTTGCAAGCGTCCGATTTGTCCATCGGCAAGGCGCTTGGCCACGCTCAGTTCTCTCCGCGTGGCTGGAGTTTTAGGGAAACTGTCGGGTGTCATCCGTTCGGAGAATGTGTCCACTCACATCTTATACCAGGGCCGTGCATAGAGGGGGTGGGGAGTGTGGGGCCCGGGGCAAATCACACCGTGTGGCCCCCCGACGCCTTCGAACTAAACCCAAATATTCCATCTGACGCCGCAACGTAGAAGTGTGTGGGCCCCCCCAAATCGCGGGGCCCGGGGAGGTCGCCCCGATTCTCCGTGTACCCTAGGGACGGCTCTGCCTGAAGGGGTACGCTCAGTGCGGGATTAAGCTCGTGCGGGGCCTGTAGCATTAGTTATAAAGGGGCCCTAAATAAATAAAATACATTAAAAAACACATTTTTTACTTGCATAGTAAAGTAATTGTTTTCATTTGTTATGCAGCCAGATAATACGACAAATCGATAACCTTAAACACCCAGTCGTTCATAAAAGTTGAAGGCAGTATAGTGCTATAGTAATAGAGCAAGTGCAGAATCACTGAACCGGAGTTGATAGCTTGAAAGCATTTAGCGCGGGGCCCTTGAAAGTGCGGGGCCCGTAGCACATGTAGCTACTTGTGCTACGAGGATAATCCGGCACTGGGTACGCTTCGAGGCTTTATTGTTGTTATTGGTCGGGCGCGTCGCTACACTTCCTCGTTTGAGATTATTTTTTATTTAGTTTTCCCTGCTCATTTTTTATTTGTCGAATTCTCCACAAGAGCCGCGCGGGTGTTGGGAAGAGAGTTTCCCAGCTGTGGATGACACGTCTCGCGGCCGCAGACAGCAACCACTGGCGACAGCCAATGCCTCGGTAGACTTTGATCTTCACCGAAACTCTTAGTCCGTGTTTCTGTTCCACGCTCTGTGTTTGTGCAGACGGCCAAAACTGTGGCCGGCTTCACGGACAGGGCCCCGTTAGACGGTTACGCAAGGGGTGAAAGCGCCCTCGTCAGCCTGACGCTGTCGATAGCGACGTTCATCTTGCCGGGTTGTTGTATCGCCTGGTGGACTCCGAGTGCGGTACCCGCGGTCTCATTGATTTTCAAACCGAGGGGAAAAAAAGGCCGTCACAGCTCTGGCAAACAAAACAAATAAATAAATGCGCCGTCATTTCTTTCGGACCGCTTTCTGGATGGGCGAACAACAGGGCGAAGTGCGGGAGGTCTTGTAAGCCGACCCACAGATCGAAGAATTTTGCCCCGACGTGCGGAAAACGTGTGTAGATCCCGGCGTTGTTATTGACGTGGCCTCCCGCAACATTGCAGCGTCGAAGAAGATGCGAGAGAACCAGGAGGCAGAACGCGGCCTCGCTTGAGTCCGCTTGCGATCACAAATCAGCCGGAAGAGCGCTTGCCTCTCAGAGAGAGACTCTTCCGCGCAAGTTGTCGCGGACTGCGCCGTACTACGTTGACAAATTTAGCTGGACATCCCAGTTTGGATAGCGAGGCCCCGCAGGGCAGCTTTGGTTATAATCGTCAGGGCGCTTGTGCTAGGCTAGGTAAAGTTTGAGACCACCCGAGGCAGTGAAAACTTGCTGACAGGAGGTCATGGGAGAGAGCTCGTCGTTATTGGTAACCTAAGATGACTGGCATATGCACCAACTGCACTTCCCACTGTGCCAGCTCACATTTGTGTGGGTGTTTTTTGTTTTGTTTTATTCAGCTGTTGCTTAACTCATTATTGCGAGCATTGCCCCTGTCTCCCGGTGTTACTGCTAGCTATCTTACACACACAGAAGCGTACAAAGACATAGACCATGATCCCCCGTATAGCCTTAACAGACTGTTCGCGAGTAGCACCTATGAAGGCCAGGACGGCACACGAGGGGGTGGGTGGCCAGCACCACACCCTTTGCCTCCTCAGTGGCGATGTTTACACATCACACCAGGTATTCATTTGAGGCTGAGCCGATCTAGGGGAGGCCCAGGACCGGTTCAGATCATTGTCACTTGTGTTAGCCGTGAGCGGGAATCGAACTTTGGTTGTCCGGTTCGTAGTGCAGCGCGCTAACCGTTGCACGACCACTGGGACGTACACGCACAGTCACACACACGGGCCTAGGCCTCACCACCGCATGCCACCCTCTCCTCGTGCCCCCCCTACCACCCTCCTCTCGCCATACTTTAACCCCACACTTTTTGCCCAACATCGTTTGTTGGGGGGTACTTGCTCCTGCCTATGACTCCATGGCACCCAGTGGCATTGGCTCATGACACCATGGCACTGTTGATGAGATTCAATAAAGTCAATACTGGTAGTTGGTCTCAACCGGAGGTGCAGGTTGTGTGGCAATGTCGCAGGGGGTACGTGAGGTCATTTATACATGTGTGAAATTATATACGTGAAAGTCATAGGTGAAAAAGTCACGTATGAATCTGCCAATATTAAATAACTACGATAACATGTAAATCCATATGGTGACCATGAATTAAAAAGGTGCCTTTATAAACTCATCGATTATGAACAATGTAGTTTCCAAGAATAACCAGCGACCACTGTCATCAATAACTGCACAAAGAAACGCATTGAGCAATCAATATATTTGTTTTAGTTTATTTGAGAAAATGTAATCTCTGAGTTTAAATGATCGGTTTAACCGTCATGTGGTGAACATTTCTCGTGTCAGGGAATGTGGGAATGTGTGTCCCGGAGTGTGAATTTTTTAAAATCACGTGAAAGAATCTCAGAAGTAGTTTTGTGATACCTCCTTCTGCAGGCCTGTTGTCTAACAAGGGGGTTCCACTGCTCTACGATAATTCCAAATTGATAGTAAGCATGTAGCAATGCATCGTTTATCCATACATATGGATTCGTATGCATGATACATGCACTGAATCGTGTAATGTGAGAATGTTTCATGTATAATTCATCATGCAAATAATATGCCAATGTGACCTTCGGGAAAATGTTTACGAACAGAAATGTGCAAACGAGACACAGCAAATAAGAAAAAAATACAAATAAGAGGGTGAAAACGAAAAAATGTATGAAAAATAAATACATTTTCGAGTCAAACGGTCACCGCAGATCGTAATAATTCATTGAAATGCTATAAAGGTCACCCGTTCCGTGTCTACGACTCGATGTCGTCATGTGACATCGGTCACACACGATGCGTGGAAGAGAAATAAAAGAGGTGTTAATTGTCAATTACTTTGCTCCCCCCAACTCCCTTGATCACCACCACCACTCCTACTACCACCACTACCACTCCCACCACCACTCCTACTACCACCACCACTACTACCACTCCTACTACCACTACCACCACTACCACCACTACCACTCCTACTACCACTACCACCACCACTACTACCACTCCCACCACCACTCCTACCACCACCACCACTACTACCACCACCCCTCCTACCACCACTATCACCACCACCACTCCTACCACCACTACCACCACCACTCCTACCACCACCACTCCCACCACCACTCGTACCACCACTACTAACCACCACTCCTACCACCACCACTCCCACCACCACCACTCCTACCACCACCACTCCTAGCACCACCACCACTCCCACCACCACCACTCCCACCACCACCACTCCTACCACCACCACTCCCACCACCACCACCACCACCACTCCTACAACCACCACCACTACTACTACCACCACCAATTCCTACCACCACTACCACCACCACTCCTACCACCACTTCTACCACCACCATTCCCACCACCACACGTACAACCACTACTAACCACCACTCCCACCACCACCACCACTCCTACCACCACCACTACTACCACCACCAATTCCTACCACCACTACCACCACCACTCCTACCACCACCACTCCTACCACCACTACCACTCCTACCACCACCACTTCAACCACCACTACCACCACCACCACTCCTACCACCACCACCACTACCACCACCACGCACTTTGATTCTCGCCAGCCCCATGAAGAACCTGGAGGAGCACCACCCCATGTGCGTGGAGCACGAGGACGAGAAGATCAACATCTACTGCGTGTCGTGCGAGGCGCCCACGTGCTCACTCTGCAAGGTGTTCGGGGCCCACAGGAACTGCGAGGTCGCGCCCTTGGCCACCGTCTACAAAAAGCAAAAGGTGTCCCGAGACTCGTGACGTCGTCTTGCTTCTGTTCTCTATTTAAGAACGGAAGCAGGTGGCTCTCTTCGCAATTGTGACAATATCGAGGGATGGTGCCGGTTGTTGGTCATCACCAGCGAAAGGTCGCGGTGCTCAAATAGTCGATGTTGTGGATTTACTCTCCAACACATCGGTGGGCTAAAGTAGTAACTCAGTTTGCACGATTTTGTTTACGTGACAAACCTTACTCACTGGCTGCGTCGGGCGGTGCTGGGTTAACGACACATAGCCACGCGATCTAACCCCCCCCCCCCCCCCAAATGTGTTTTTTATTACGAACAAAAGGGGCTCCGTCCACGTCGTTTGTTCTCTGAATTATTATTATTGCTGTTACTACTACTCCTCCGCTCGATGAAAACATTAGAATGGGCTGTACGCTTTCTGGCAATGAAACAGGTGTTAAGATGTGCAAACACCAAATAGATTCCCATCGCACGGCATCAACGAGTCTGCATTAACCACCCTTACTTCCGGCAAAAATGCAAACATGCTCTGATAATATACGAATTGTCTTTCAAACTCATTGGCCTACGCCAGTGACAGACGTGTTTGTGGTTTTGTCTCACCGCCAGTAGTTAGACCAGAGAACGCTGAAAGGCGAACAGTACAAAGGCAATACAAGTATCAAAGTATCAATAGCTCGGGTTGGTCAATGCAGACGTGATGCCTTGTAACACGTGTCTACTTGGTGTTTGAACATCTTAACACCTGTTTTATTGCCAGAAAGGGTCGAGCTTAGTCTTGTGTTTTTCATCATTTTTGAAACTGGCGAAAAGGGTTCCACCGTCGATATTACTTTGCTTCTTTAACCCGGGAAATCCACCAGACTCCCTTTCAGGAGTGTCCTGCCAAATGTTCGCAGTCCTGGGCGATTATTGTTGCTGCGTGTGTGTGTGTAGTTTCCAATTCAGTCATTTGCGGGCATCTTTTTTACATTTGGCAATTTTGAACCGTAACGCTGCCATTGGATGGATCTGCACTTGCGAATTACGCCACGATATCTTTAAAGTCCACCGTGAACCAGACGCCGCAAAGTATTTTATGATTGACACCCCCGAGGTGTTCAGACTTATAGAGCCTCTAAATGTGACAGCGTTCCAAAGACGCTATACGAATATGTGCATGTGGCCATTGAGCTAATTTATAGAAGACGTTTTTTTTTAACAGATGGAAGAGAGTCAGTGGGCCGCTGCTAGACTACAATGGGGGAAATAACGAAACGAGTTGACGGAGTGGTAAAGGTGCGAATGAAGTCAGCCGGCAGGTATATCGGGAGGGAATTCCAACCAGTGGGAGCAGCTGCAGCAGCAGGGAAGGAACGTACCGATGAATGGCGATGGACGTTCAACTCATGGAATGCACTGCGAGATGTCTGTGCGTGTGAGTCCGATAATCCCCCTGTGGGCAGCGGTAGCCAGGGCCGTGCATAGGGAGGTACGGGGCGTTGAAGCGCGCGGTCCCCCAAAGCGCGGGGCCCGGGGCAGTCACCCCAATTCACCGTACCCTAGGGACGGCTCTGGCGACTGAGTAGTAGTTAGCACGCCGCGCTACGAACTCGGCGACTTGAGTTCGATTGCCGCTCATGGCCAGCAGTCACGAGCGATATCTAAACTGGTTCTAAGCCTCCCCTAGGTTGACTCCGCCTTAATTGAGTGCATGGTGCTCTGTGTAAACATCAGTACTGTTGAGAGCAAGGCGCACGGAGGAGTGTAGTTATCCGGCCGCACCACACCCCCTCCTCGTGTGCCGTTCCGGCCTCCGTGGGAAGCTCGCTAACGGAAAACTTGCACCAACAGGCCCGTGACCTTTATTTGGTGGGACACTCGTTATTGTGTCTCTGCAGGTTGAGCTCAGTGACGGCATCGCCCTGCTGGTGGTGGGGAACGACCGCATGCAGCTCGTCATCTCTCGCCTCGAGGAGATGTGCAGAAACGTGGAGGCGAGTGGCCGCCTCCGGCAGTCCGATTCTCGTCCGATTGCATTCTCTCTGCCCGAGCTTAGCAATAAAAATAAACGTAACTTTCTGTTCTCCAAATATATTTAGAAACGTTCGGTCCATTGGTCTTGTTGGCTTTCCAGACCAAATGTTATGGAGTGGAATTTGTGTAAGCAAGCACACTCTGCGGTGGTTACGACGTTCTAGTTATCATCACGGTTGGCTTGCTTAAACGAATTCTGCTGGATAGTGTTGGTGTGGGAAGCCAATATGCTTCTATCACCCGATGCAAAATGGCATTCATTTATGCTTTGTAATGAAGGCTTTCCATTGGACACATAGAAAATGCAATCTGTAAAGCAATGCTTGATCCTCCAAGCTGGGATATGTGAATTTTTATATATATAAGCATAATTGCGTTAAATCTTTTAGCATGTTCGGTAGTGTCGATTTTGGACCGTGGACCCATCACGCTCGAGAATCCAGCCTAACCGCAGTGTGGCTGTCACCCGAATAGAAACCCAGAGTCTCTGAGGCACTGGCTCAGTGCTCGGACCCGGTGCTCGTTCTAGTTCCCTCCGTTCCGTCCGATCGTGCGCTTTCCTCTTCGATTGTTCAGGTCGTCAGCAAGCACCTTAGTTGGCCTACGTACAGTGTGAAAGAAGTTCAACATACATACACCTTCATTTTTACACCACCAGCTCTTTCCCTCAGCAGTCTTCTTGCTGGGTAACCTGGTTCAGTTAAGTCTTCACTTCGAATATTCACAATACTGATCGTGTGCCTTCCCTGAATCATTCCAATCTCACTTCCCGTCTCTTGCGCCCGCTCGACCACTTCCTCATTTTATTTTTCCTTCCAACCAACCGATTTTCTCTCTCCAACGCCACTCCCCAATTCTCACTTGGCAGTCGCCTGCCACCGGAGCCTCATCTCGCTTGCAAATGTTACGCTCGGCTGGCACAGCCGAGACCCTGGGATCAATTCCAGGTTTCGGGTTGCAGCCACTTGTGATTAAACAGGATTTTCCAGTGTAGAGATTGATGGTCTATGCCTGGTTACCAATGATTGCACAACAACCACAAAATTAGAGCATTACATTGTTTTTACTTAATTTATATAAATTCGACCTCTGAGGGTTGCAACACTTTTCAGTGCCATTGCCAATAAACACTTTCGCAGCAGGGCTTGGATGCTGCTTTTGTGTTACGGTGAGCAGAGTGGACTCTCAGGTTTCTCCGATCAACCAGCCTCTGTCCACCAAGCAGTACGAGTGGCTTCACCACAGTTAGCCGATCGGCACGTGGCACGTGATGCAGTAAAGTGTGGGTACTCTTCTTCTTGGTTCTTTCGGTAAAGTCACGTAGAAGGGAAGTAATAAAATAATAAAAATAAAACATAATAAAATAATTCTCACGACGTTTCGGCCACAACGCAAGCAGCCGTCCTCAGGTGAAAACCAGGTCCGTCGAGGCGACAGAGTCTGAATGAAACAGCACACGAGCTTGGAGCATATATATAAGCTGGGCGCATTGACAAAGGAATTTGCATATCAAGAGGAATTTAGCATATTCATGGGAAATGCAGGAATGTGATTAGTACTGCATATGCATGTGCATTATGCAGGATTAACAGCATCAAAGGGAGCTACAGTTGCTGCTGCTGCTGCAGTTGCTGCTGCTGCTGCAGTTGCTGCTGCTGCTGCAGTTGCTGCTACTGCTGCTGTAGTTGCTGCTGCTGCTGCAGTTGCTGCTGCTGCTGCAGTTGCTGCCTTATCCATTTTTAATATAACACTATGTATTATTCTACCCACCTTAATGTGTATCACACTGCTATATATTTACTATACAATTACGACACCATACATTACTCTGCACACTGCACCATGCCAGTGAGTGGAACGCGGTCTGAAAGTCACCGTAAACGTGAACACAATCAGTTACGATCCGAAATGGTTTATTACGTCCTTCCAATGATTGCTAAGCCAGAATCCATCTTCTCGGTTAAAATTGTCTCTGTGTTTGTATATGTGGATCGCCTCATGAACGAATCTCTCATGATAGCCAGATGGCTTGCAGAGAACCTCTGTCTTGGAGAAGTCAATGTCATGTGAGCCCACTGAGTTGTAACAGTGATCTGCCACGGCTGAGGTGTTTGTCCTACCGTGTTTCAGGTCTGCTTTATGTTCACGGATGCGGTCCGAGACATGTCGTTTGGTTTCCCCAATGTAACTGCTACCACAGAGGCAACTTAGTTTGTAGACGCCAGGGTACTGTATGTCTGGAACCACATCTTTTACAGACGGTACCAGATCACGGATTTTATATACTGTGTTGAATCGGACCTGGATCTTGTGTTTAATCAGGATTTTGGAGATCTTTTTTTGTGACCCCAGCAATGTAGGGTAAGGTGATGGTCTTGAAAGGCTCCTCAACAGGATCCTTCTTGATGGTTGGAGTGATGGCTTTGCGGATTGTGTAGTCGGAGTAACCATTAGCCTTAAGAGCTTGGCGTACGTGTTTGAGTTCACTGGAAATGTGTTCCTGGTCGGAGATGCATTGGGCTCTATGATATAGAGTCTTGATGAGGGAATTCTTCTGGGATGGATGGTGGTGGGAATCCGGTTTTAGGTAAGCATCCGTATGGGTGGCTTTCCTGTAGACAGAGTGGCTCATTGAACCATCAGGTCTCCTTTTGATTAGGACATCCAAAAAGGGTAGCTTGCCATCTTTTTCGACTTCTATGGTGAATCTGATGGCTGGGTGTATGGAATTGATGTGGTCGAGAAATTGGTCTAGAGCAGGCCGGCCATGTGGCCAGATGACAAAAGTGTCATCTACGTACCTCTTCCATAAGGTCGGGCGTAGAGTGGCAGTCTGGATGGCGTCCGTCTCAAATTTCTCCATGAAGATGTTGGCTACAACCGGAGATAGGGGGGAGCCCATTGGGGTGCCCTCAGTTTGCTTGTAGAAAGTTCCATTCCAGGTGAAGTATGTATTGGTTAAGCAGTGTCTCACCAGGGGGGGTACCCCAGCATTCAGTCCTTGATGAACCAAGTCTTCAATGATTGCGATGGTGTCAGGTACAGGAACCTTGGTGAATAAGGAAACCACATCAAAACTGACAAGCAGGTCGTCTGGGGACAGGGCAATCCCCTTGATTGTCGATACCAGGTCAGTAGAGTTTAGTACCGCAGAGGTGGTTTTTCCAGTGAAAGGTCCGTAGGATTTCAGACAAAAAACGAGCCAATTTATAGGTGGGGGAGTTGATAGTTGAGACAATGGGACGAAGAGGTGTATCTTCTTTATGTATCTTTGGCAAGCCGTATAATCTTGGTGGCCTGGCTGCAGAAGGTTTCAACGAGAACTGGTTGGTCTGATCAATTAATGCGGTTGAATCAGAAATGATTTTGTTGGTTTTAGTGACGAGGCTGTTGGTGGGGTCTCTTTTTATGTCTCGGACCGCATCCGTGAACATAAAGCAGACCTGAAACACGGTAGGACAAACACCTCAGCCGTGGCAGATCACTGTTACAACTCAGTGGGCTCACATGACATTGACTTCTCCAAGACAGAGGTTCTCTGCAAGCCATCTGGCTATCATGAGAGATTCGTTCATGAGGCGATCCACATATACAAACACAGAGACAATTTTAACCGAGAAGATGGATTCTGGCTTAGCAATCATTGGAAGGACGTAATAAACCATTTCGGATCTTAACTGATTGTGTTCACGTTTACGGTGACTTTCAGACCGCGTTCCACTCACTGGCATGGTGCAGTGTGCAGAGTAATGTATGGTGTCGTAATTGTATAGTAAATATATAGCAGTGTAATACACATTAAGGTGGGTAGAATAATACATAGTGTTATATTAAAAATGGATAAGGCAGCAACTGCAGCAGCAGCAGCAACTGCAGCAGCAGCAGCAACTACAGCAGCAGTAGCAGCAACTGCAGCAGCAGCAGCAACTGCAGCAGCAGCAGCAACTGCAGCAGCAGCAGCAACTGTAGCTCCCTTTGATGCTGTTAATCCTGCATAATGCACATGCATATGCAGTACTAATCACATTCCTGCATTTCCCATGAATATGCTAAATTCCTCTTGATATGCAAATTCCTTTGTCAATGCGCCCAGCTTATATATATGCTCCAAGCTCGTGTGCTGTTTCATTCAGACTCTGTCGCCTCGACGGACCTGGTTTTCACCTGAGGACGGCTGCTTGCGTTGTGGCCGAAACGTCGTGAGAATTATTTTATTATGTTTTATTTTTATTATTTTATTACTTCCCTTTTACGTGACTTTACCGAAAGAACCAAGAAGATGAATCCCTGCAGTCACGAAAGATTTAAATCGAAATGTGGGTACTCTTGCTTCCCACAAGGCATCTGGCCGGCACGGAAGGGTAGGCCGAATGCCCTCTAGAAGGCTCTCTATAGGACTCGCTCTAGTGGAGGCCGCTCCATCACAAGTGGCGTAAGCAGGGCCGTGCCTCGCGCCCGCTTTCATAACCGGGCTTAAGAGAAGGAGCAACACCTCGCGTGGGCGGGAGGGAAGTGGAGGGACCTCAGAAGGCCATTCTCTCACACGGGGTGGATGATGTCGTGACACAGCTTTCCTGAAAATATTATTGACGACATTTCATGATGTGGCGTGGTGCTAATTACACAATTTGAATATAAATTGTAGAAAAGATCAAGCTAAAAGGGATTCGTATCTTGTGTTTGTTTAAGGACAGTTGGTCGGGTGGCTGAAGAGGTTCATAAAGATTCTAGATTTTAAGTTTTCGTGACTGCAATGATCCATACTCTTTGGTTCTTTCGGTAAAGTCACGTAGGTGAATTTTTTTTGTTAATAAAAAAAACTATTTTTTTTTTCACCTACGTGACTTTACCGAAAGAACCAAAGAGTAAGGTTTATAATGGCTGTGTTAGAGACACTGAGATGCTCGGTTTGAATAAGAATAATAAAAGCCTCATAGCTCATTGGATTCTTCCACTCTAAATACAGATGCTGATTCTGAATCTTGAGTTTCTGCCTCTCACGGTGAAACTGGCTTCTTCAGTGACTCACAAAATACATCGTCACATTTTTATTTCAATCCATTGACCAACGCGAATTTAAGGGCTAAAAATCACAATACAGTGAAAGTTTATTTAACCAGAGGTGAGAATTCTAGAGACCAAGATGGGTCCCGTTTACAAGGGAGAGGCCTGCGGTTGCCAAATATTGCAAGCAAAACAAACTAACCTCGAACAATGCAGCGCATCGGAATCAGCACAATGTATGCATGTTGACCTTCTTTCGAAGCCTACCGCGTTAATCGGAGGTCAAGCAGAATTAAATCGGAGCTCCAACATTTGCTACTGACATACAACCAGACTGCTTAGAGACCTGGGAATTAAGGGCCAGAGCCAGCGTTCGGCAATCAGAACTGTATCGGAGGCGGCAGAAGGCAGCAGTCAGTGGCTCTGGATGAAGAGGAAAGACCCCAGCTGGGCCCCAAAGTGAGAGGGCCAGGAGGTATGCAGTCAACAATGCTTGACTCAGGGAGGAGGACGCCCCTGCCATGCATAGTCCCATGGGATGTTGGCTATCAACAACAAGGCAACTCCTATGACTAATTGGGAATGGGACGCAAGCATAGGATTGATCACCCTGTCGCTGGCCGCCTTTGGGGAGGGTGTATAGTGTGAAAGGCCGAAACACCCTAGGAACCAAAGGGTCACTACTGATGATGCGCTCCCCAAATTTCACCAGGCTCACTGTTCATGAACTCTTGGAAGTGCTTGCACAAAGGATAGTAACATCTCATCCTGTGTTCTTTGGAATCTGAAAGCCATTTACTATACGTAATGGTCCTGTTATTTTTATTCCTAAATTTATACAAACGAATGGAACTGCTTTGGCAGTGGTGCAAAAACACAAGTGCATGTTTAAGTGCAACAAAACAAGATGAGGCTGTGTTTCATGAATACGTGTTTCTGTCCATAATCCGTACTTATAACTTAGTATGAACGAAGAACACCCAGAGTGTCTTTTTATAATTATGCCTAATATCCGGTTCAGTGTGAGGCCCAAATAATGCGAATGAAAGTTCTCTTACGCGCTGGATAAATAGAACGATTTGCCACCGGCTCTCAAACTTGCTGGGGATGCAGATAGGTTTTCGTCATTAGTTTGCCAAAAGTGAAATTGTCAACTGCATGCATGAGGCAACTGCAGTGACGGGAGGAACCCCACGCACAACACGAGAAGGGTGCATACTCTTTGTTTTTTTCGGTAAAGTCACGTAGGTAAAAAGAAAACAAATAAATTAAATCACGACGTTTCGGAGGCAACACAAGATTCCGTCTTCAGGTGGAACCGTCACAGTAAAATTGCTGTATCAAGTGAAGAGAGCTCGAAGAGACACGAGGTCCATCCTGGCTCCTCCCCCCCCCCCCTCCTTAAACTGTGTATAATCTCGTGTCTCTTAGAGCTCTCTTCACTTGATACAGTAATTTTGCTGTGACGGTTCCACCTGAAGGCGGAAGCTTGTGTTGCCTCCGAAACGTCGTGATTTAATTTATTTGTTTTCTTTTAACCTACGTGACTTTACCGAAAAAAACAAAGAGTATGGATCCTTGCAGTCACGAAAACTTCAAATCTAGAAATAAAAGGGTGCTCAAGATTCCACATTGGCCTGCGACAGGGACTGTGCCATGGAAAGGTTGTTGCAATCGAATGGAATTCTACTGCAAATCGATTGAGAATCCTCCTGTCTCTCGTGCATGCACTCACTCTCCCGCTAACCCACTGACGAACCCCCTCTCCCACCTACTCACCCACTCTTCTATTCATCCACCCATTCACTCTCCCACTCTCCAACTTGCTCATCCACCAAGCCACTAACTCACCCACCAACGTATTATCTCATGCACCTTATCTCTCACCCACTCACCTACTCTCTCACCCAACAACTCAGCCATCATCAACCCACCCAACTCTTCCATTCACCAGCTCCCTCACCCACCTGCCCACTCTCCCACTAACCCACCCACTCATTCATTCACTCACTCTCCCACTCCTCCACCCCCAACGTTACAATTTCACCCATCAACCCACCCACCCACCCCCCCGCAGGAGAACGGGCGCAGCATGAGGCAGGCGCTGTGCGGAAGCTTCGACGCGCTGTACGCCGCGCTGGAGGAGCGCAAGCGCGAGATGCTGCAGATCATTGGCCACGAGACGGACAGCAAGACGCAGCGTGTGCGGACGCTGGCCGCGCAGTGCTCCCAGCACCTCGAGCGCTCCTCCAAGCTCGTCGAGAGTGCCCTGCACTCTATGGACGAGCCCGAGATGGCCGTGTTCTTGCAGGTGTCAGACCCGGGGCTCACCCACACTCGCACTCACCGTTACACTCAAACCACTTGCCCACTCACCAACCCACTCGTTCACTCTACCGCTCGCCAAAAAATCCACTCATCCACCCACTCACCAATCCGCTCAATCATTTTTCCACCCACCAATCCGCTCACCCACTCACCCGCTTACGCTCTCTCCAATTCACATACCCACCCACTCACCCACTCTTCCATTCACTCACTCACACAGGCACCCACTCGGACCGTCTTCCACTAAATAGTTCCACTATCGCATGGGGGCGGGGGGATCGGCTGCTCGGATTGTTATTCTCCGTGCGCTTCTCCTCTGTCCTCTGAATCCGTGTCTCGTGATTGTTATTTTGCAGGGCTATGATTTACCATTGCTACACTTTGTTTTAGTAAGTTTCTTAAAAGTATTCGGAGTTTGAACGGGGAATTCAAAGGCAAATACTTTGAGCGCGGCATTATTTTCACTCCGAATATTAATTGTGTGTGTAGCAATGAAGAGCTATGCCTTTGACAATAATGTAGGGCAGATGTTAAGCAATTATTTGAGTAATTAGCAGCTACCTCCGCCTCTACTAAAGGTCACTATTTACAATGCGTGGTCATACCTTGAACGTTGCATCTTGTGTTTTTTTCTTTTCTTTTTCAGAATGCAAAACCTCTCCTGAAAACGCAAGTACAATTTTATTTAACTATAATACATTTAACCGCTGAATAGAAATGCTTGAATTTCACAAATGTGAATATCTACTTACGGGGATAATCAGACTAAGACCTCATCGTGGGTTCTCAGAATGTTGACAAATGAACGGCTTTCACAAAGAATCGCTTCACCACACTTCATTTCGTTTCGCTTAACTTTAGTCATCTTGGCAACCCAGGTCACTCTGGCAAATGACTGATCCTGGTCTCTTGAGATCTCACCACCTGGTTAAACAAATAGACGTGACTTGATTGAATATCACAGGAAAAACAATACTATGCACCTAGTGGCGTCCATCAGATCCATACCTAAGGCAATGCATAATTTCATAACCGATGATCTCCACCCTTAGAGAGATACCACAGACATAGCCAACCGTGCAGGCATGAACAACTTTACAGTTCACACAAGGAAATGGAAACCAATCACTGGAGGTGTAATTGGAAAAGAGGAGTTGCTATTGAATGGGGCACGTGTGCAGGCTGGGGCGAGGGCAGGTTACTGAGACTGGCCTCGGAGTGGCGCCAAAAGGTCAGAGAGCAGGACGTTAAGCAAGACAGCGGTGGAGGGTGAGGCTGTTAGAGCAGACTTTGGAGGTCAGATGTTGACTGCAAATAAAGGTAGGCGTGGCAGTGATGGCTAGTTATGGTGACATCATTGGATCGGCTGTGATGACCTCTTGACCTTGACTTGAGGCTCTCTAAAGCAGAAGTCACCAGTGCTGGATGCTGGACAGCAGTTGGCGCTGATGGGACAGTGGCCCAGCGGTTGTTGTGTAAATTTGCAGTTCGAGCCCAGCGGCTACCCTGGTTAATACTACGGATGTATTGACCGTTTAAATTACCCAGAATACTTTGCCCTAAGATGTTACAGCCACCGCTGCTGCCCGATGTCCACAGCCGTTGAGAATACATTGTATCCACTTCCACCTGTTCTGCAGTTTGGAATGGCGCCGCTCACGGGGTTACCTCCGTGAGACGTGAATCAAACATATCACTCGAGACATCGCTATGGCAGCAAGATCAGTTCATGCGAATGCTGTCGCAAGAAGTCACACGTTTGGCGCAGCGGTCCTTCGCCGACCATGCGTGATGAATGAATGAATACATTGACCTAAAAAAAGAATCGCCATCACCTTCACGGTGGACGTCTTAAATCCCATGACGTCATTCGGGTGAACAAAACTAGTCGGAAATGTGCGATGGCATCATAACGTCAGCACTCGCTAACCACCAGAGGTGGGACAAAGTCATTGTTATGCAAGTCCAAGTCGAGTCTGAAGTCATCAAATTCATGACTCGAGTCTGACTCGAGTCCAAGTCACATGACTCGAGTCCACACCTCTGCTAACCACCAGATTGGGAAGCCGCATGGCAACTTCACTCCCCCTACTGGCAAACTAACGCCCACCTGCTGTCCGGCGCTGCACTCACCTTGTGTCGCAGAGACAGCTAACACCGGGGTGGGGGGCGGTCCCCTCGAGACGGGAGAGTTGCGCTATCAGGCGATGACGACGCTGCTGTGCCGCCGCTCGCGTGTGCAGAATCCTGGAGACGTCGGAGGAGGCCGACGTGCAGGAGATGGAGGGCGGATTCTCCAGCATGGATCACTTCTCCTGCGACTTTCACCCAAGTGGAGGAGAAGCTCCGAGGACTCGACTTCAATCCGGGTACCGCTGATAGTACAGCACCGGCTGCTGATGCTCATAAATGTTGTTAACTATGATCAGTAATAGTCCTTTGGTCGTTCCACGTCGGGATGAAGACCATGCAGTGCCACGTTTGATGTAAGGGTTGTTGAACCCACACGTCACCACGTTGGTCGGTGAAGGTGGGAGGAGATCCATGAAGCGGTTTCAGATGTAGCTCACCACTAATGTCAGCCGTTGCCGGGAAATGGAACTCATGGGTTCAGAGGGCGGCATGCTAATTGCTGCGCCGCCACTCTACCACGTGATGCGTATTCAGGACTGATTTCCCATGGTCACCCTGGGAACAGAGGACTGCTTCTTGATGGGTACCGGTGATTACACAGAACTGGTCACAGATCGGGACCAGAAATAATTGCACAGTAGTGGTACCTGGTGGATACTCTTTACACCTTTAATTAATTATGGTTCAAAGAAATAAGCAATCAATCATAAAAGATCAAACGATTGAAAGTCAAGATATAAGGAACTTGAAAACAAACGGCACTCAATTAATGAAGTCTATATTTTAACTTTCATAGTTATAAACATAAGACTCGAACACAGAGAATCGAGCCAGCCCCACGTAGAGCTCGGTTTGAATCTGGGAGCAGCGTCGACAGGACCAGCCCGGCTGCGAATGACTGAACACAAAAATATAACTTCTTCTTGGTTCTTTCGGTAAAGTCACGTAGAATGGAAATAATAAAATAATAAAAATAAAAACATAATAAAAACATTCTCACGACGTTTCGGCCACAACGCAAGTAGCCGTCCTCAGGTGGAGAACAGGTCTGTCGAGGAGACAGGAGTGCCTGTGAGAATTATTTTATTATGTTTTATTTTTATTATTTTATTATTTCCATTCTACGTGACTTTACCGAAAGAACCAAGAAGATGAATCCCTGCAGTCACAAAAGCTTTAAATCGAAACAAAAATATAACATTAATATTCGTTAATCACTTAATTCGCATACCTTGGCTTGGACGAAAGATTATTAAATAAAGTGTATGTTACTATTCGCCATGTGTCCCGTGGTCAGCCTTCATTGTGAATAATGAAAGGGCTCCACCTAGTGCGAGTGATAGAGACCTTTTAATGCGACGTTATAAATACGGACAGTCCTCGGGTTACGAACCTAATTCGTTTCTGATACCCGTTTCGTAAGTCTAACGGTTCGTAAGTCGGAACACACTAATAATTAACTGTATTTAAATGTCCATACGGTTAGTGTTATGAAATGTGTTACGGTTCAACAAAAAGGGAAGCATTGTTAAACTCGTAATTAAGAAGAAATATTGAAATATTGTACATTTGCATTTAACACTGTTCAAAATATTGTACAGTAAATAAACATAAAATAAGGTAGCATACGTAGAAGAAATCAGTTTTATTTTCACTTAGCCTGAGTCCTGATGCTTAGCTTGCTTGTCGGAAGGGGGCAATAAGTAACAACAATTGCACACACACGCACACACGGGGCAAGCGCACACACACACAGACACACACACAGACACACACACAGACACACACACAGACACACACAAACATACACACACACGCACACACGGGGCAAGCGCACACACACACACAGACACACACACACAGACACACACACAGACACACACACCCCAAGGACAACGATCCCCCGTTTAGCCTGCAGCAGACTGTTGGAGCAAGTGCTGTTAGCGAGCACCTATGAAGTCCGGCACGGTACACGAGGGGGTGGGTGGCCAGCGCCACGCCGGGCCGCCTTTGTCTCCCCAGTGGCGATGTTTACACACCGCACCAGGTTCTCATTTGAGGCTGAGTCGAACAATTCCCATTCAGATAATTATCATCACTGCTGTTTGGCCATGAGAGAGAATTTCACTTTGGTCGCCAAGTTGGTAGCACAGCGCTAACCGTTGCACACCCCCCCCCCACACACATGCACACAAAGACAGACTGGAACGATACACGAGAGGATTGACCAACACCACGCCCGACCACCTTTGTCTCCCTAGTGATTCATTTGCATTTAGGAATGCTATAACAATGCGCGCTTATGCTCAACAGTGCATATCGCGACCTTGTATTCAACGTGCACAGATTTCGCAATTTTTATTGAAAGCATTTATATCAACAGTGATAATTATTAGGACATGTTGTCAATCAATATAGCGATAAAATCAGGGCATTGATTCAAAATCGTGATCACGGTTGTCACCTGCTCGCTCAACTTCAGCATAACCATGTTGCGCTCGGCACGTCTGAACGGGCGTGACAAAGCTAATGATACGATTATAACCGCGTAATTATTTTAGCAATTGCAATAGTATCATTCGTGTCAATTCACACCTTATTGGTCACCCCGTGCCCCATTTAAATGTCAACGTCCGCCCTACAAAGTCCCATCACAAGGGAGAAACACAAACAAATAGACTAAACAAATGTGCCCGTATTGAAACGGCTGTACGCCGTATGGACCTGAAAACTCAATTTCCCTCTACAAGAATACGGGGTAAACCATATGGGTTGACAGCTGTGTAGTAGTAGCTTTGCCCGGGTACTTGCGGTTATCTTTTGTGAATGTAGAGTGGCTCAATCACTGTTCGTAAGTCGGTGAATGGCGTGACAGCAACTGTTAAGATTGTGCTGTGCCATGGGGGGCTCGTAACAAATGTAATATATAACGTGTCAACAATCGTGCGAGAAATAATACAGCGTGTGCCAATGTAGGCAAATGCGCTGATTAAATCAGGATTCTCCATGTAATCTGCAAGTAGCAGAGCAATGCAGCAGGCACAGCAGTAGCTGAGTAAACGGTCTGATTGACCACTCTGGGCCAAATTTCGATTTAAATTTCGATTCAAAGCTTTCGTGCCACGTGTTTGTTTTTATTGAAGAGTGAGCGTTGCCGCATTGGTTATCTCGCCACGTAAAGACGAGGGGGCGTGCTCACGGAGGTTGACCATTAATTGGAATCAACACACCGGGGTGTGTTTTTGGGTGATGCGATCAAAGGCAATTGTTTAGATGAACTTCAAGAGGGGTAAGGGGCTAATTGTGTAACTGTTGGATGTGCGGGGCCAGGTTAACCGTGTGCTGGGTTAGGAGTGGTGCCGTTTGGGGGGCTCTGGGCTCCCCCTAAATGTCGACTCACCGTGTAGCTAAAGTTTTCCACGGGGTTTTAAAAGGCGAACCTGCCAAGCTTGGTGGCGTTAGCATTTAACGGTGTGGATTTGTGTATTCAGGACATTCATTTTTATGAAAAATATTGTTGGTCATGCGCTAAGAGGGAACCGCAATGGGCCTCTATGACTGGACAAGAGGGTCGTGATATACAATAGGGGGGGGCGAAATGCGTATTAATTTCAAAAATCCAGGTGGGAAAACACAAAGAGGCCCAGAATTGGAGGGGACCTGGACCGGTTCTTTAAATTAAATCTTGAATTGCCGCACGAGACGATCCGCAGATATCGAGCGTCAAAGATTTGAAAAAAATATATCAGACGACAGGGCAAGTTTTAATGAAAGTGTGCTACAGTAATAATACAAAATAACGATGATTTAAAAAAAAACACACAATCTTTGACAACGATGATGAAACCACTGAAACCAGGGGCAGAGCTGGCGCAAGCCTCAGGCGAGGACCCGGCGGAGGCCGAGTGGCTGGCCAATGAGCAGGCTCAGTGGGCGGAGCAAGAGGCGGAGCTCGGGCAGGACGTCCAATCAGAATGGAGGTCGCCTCGGCCGGACCAGAAAGAGGAGGAGCCACAGACGCAGGCGCAGCCGTCGCCGCCAGAGGGCCCCCGCGAGGAGACGCTGGGAGCCACGGCCGAGGTATGGGCAACGCAGCGCCTCCGGTGAATTCAGCAAGAGACGGGAGACGTTCCAGGTCCCGGGTTCATTGGCCACTCGGTTGGATTTCTCGATACGGGGACGGGGGGGTGGGGGTAGTATTTTATTGTACCATCGTGGATTCGCTTGAATGTGGAAGCCGGTGGGTTTTAACCGTGCCCATGCCCCTTTTCTGGGAGCACAAGTCATGGCCAGATAAAAAAAATTAGAAGGTAAATCAGCGTCGTTTCAATACAAAATTACGAGGGAGAACCAAAGGGGTGTAAGGCTGCACTAAAGGTTCAGAACGACTGGTCTAAGCGGTCACTCTTCAATGGCCATTGGACACTGGTGGCATCACAAGGGAGGAAAAACCCATGCCTACGCTTGGATTATCTGAACACGTTTTATTTACATCATGGGACCTCCTTTTCCAGTACTTATCAACCAACCACAGAAATCTTTTTTTTAACAGTACAGATCATGACAGTGCCTGTCATGGTAAAGTGTGTTTGCTGGATTGAGTCTCCACATTTTTGAGCAGCCCAATGATCAATGTGACCGATTTCCAGTCAGGCGAGTCCCCCCAATAACAACACGACTTTATACGAAAGTTCTATTCGTACCGAATCATTTTAACCAGAGTTAGTGTAGCCTCTCTGTTACAAACAAACGTACGGACAGACCGCGAATGCACAAACGCTTTCAACCCAGAAAGCATTACAGATGTTATGATGAAAGGTTGAGATGTGCGCCCTTTGATGGCAGTACAGTAAGTAATGTTAAATCATGTAAAAAAAAATCTACAGGTGGATTGACATACCATGTTTTGAAAAGCATAACTTAACTTTTTGGAGCAAGAACCTGTTCCTTGGCAGAGTTTAACTTTTCCACCCACAGCGAACCGAGTAGTGTGTGTGTGTAACTGCTGGGGGAATGAATGTCTTCACCACTGGCATAATTTATTGTTGATATCAGTCTAATCACCCTGTCTTCAACCACGAAGTTGTGAATGGATTGTTAATTAAGAAACACATTTTGTCAAATCCATATTAGTACGGTGTTTGAGTTGGAGGAGCAGTGGTTAGCGCATTGCACTTCAGCCCCAACTACCTGGGTGTGATTCCTGCCCATGGCTAACATTAGCAGTGACACCTGTAATTGACTTCCACTTCACCAACCCGTACTGACCAGTTTGATGAAGTATGGTAAAACAACTCCCACGACTGACACATCAGTGGAGTTCAAAAATTGAAATGCATACTGTGTTTGGATCAATGATTCAACATTGGTTTTAGATTTACATTACAGTAAATATTAACCCCTGAATACTAATACCCAAAAAAATGTTGATCAAATGTATGGTGCATGCTTAGATACTTTCCTCAAACTCGCACATACACGCATTTATATCTATCGTATTCCGTGTGCAACCTGTGTATGAACGCACTGTTCAGGATGAATATAATTTAGAAATGTTATCATTAAACAACAATTGGTCCGTAAATTATCATGTTAGGTCAATTGACTTGTAGCTTTTAATTTACTATGAATGTTTATGTTGTAAGGCAGCATTGATTGTTAATTACTGATTCCTCATCCACTTCCAACGTTACCAGTGAATATCGCTATACAGTGGCAATTATATTTCCTGTTCACCCCTGCCATAGGAATGTGGAATTTCCACAACCAGCTTAAGGATTGTTTGCGAGCACCTATGAGGGCTGGCACACAAGAGGGCTGCATGCCCAGCACCACCCCCAGCTACCATAATCTCTCCAGGGTGCTGATGTTTACACACACAGCACAATGTACTAATTTGAGGCTGAGTTGACCTAGGGGCAGCCCAGGATCCGCCACTGACGTTAGCCAAGGCTTGGTGGGAATTGATCTTGGGTTGGTGGGTTCGTAGAGCAGTGTGATATCCAGTGCACCACTGCTCAACCTTTATATATGCCACGTATGTATGCATGCACAAAGACAAAGATTCCCCGCATAACCTTAGAAGACTGTTTGGGCAAGTGCCGTTAGAAAGCACCTATGAAGGCCAGAACGTTACAGACGGGGGTGGGTGGTCAGCACCACGCCCGTCCGCCTTTGTCTCCCGAGTGGCAATGGTTTCACACGTTACACCAGGTACTCATTTGAGGCTGAATCGACCTCGAGGAGGCCCAGGACCGGTCCAGATAACCGCCACTGGTACTGGCCGTGAGCGGAAATCGAACTCGGGTCACCGGGTCGGTAGCGTAGCGCTAAACGCTACACTACTACTCTTCATATGCAGGCACACATACGCAAGTGCACGTGCTGAATGTTTTTACTCGACTTTAGATTGAAATAATACCAAATAGTGTTAAGTGATTTTACAGAATGCATCAAAAGGCCCGATGGAAGTGCATTGAATGTGTCACATTTCACGACTCCATGTCACCACCACATCGCGGTCCATTCCACGCTTTACACAAGCCCACTGCACGCTGCCGTGTGTTGCTACCGATGCATCTAAGATCGATGTTTGGATTTCTATGACCTCACTTCCCTGGTAAGTACAGGGAGCACTAGCAGTCCTTGTCTGGGTGCTGACACGGTCATCGGGCATCTGTCCTGCGCGCAAAGTGATGCCAAATCTCAATGACCTCTCACCTGGCTGAATTAATCACATATGACTTCATGTCAATTTCAGAAATCGATCAGCGACGGAATGATTCAATCAGTCCTGTGAGAGAGACCTATTGAGATGAAATTATCCATTGCACGAGGGATCCATGAAGTGAATAGATGAGAATAAAATTCCTGGAACAAATAAATGCTTCAGCGGAGGGAAGCAGCATCAATTAAAACACAAATCTGATAAAACAAAGATTTGCGAAAATGTAAACAAAATGATGCAAGTAGCAAACATGGTTACATGCGGTGTAAACAACAACAAATATCATAAACAACTGAAATACACCGTTTATAAGTGTATTCAAGAGATAAAGTGCAATGGTAATTGGAATTTAAAATGAATAATGCATTTGACGCCAGGTGAGAGCAATTTGAGGAAAGAGCCTTTGTGTGCATAAGGGAGATTCGGAGTTTAACATAGGGAGGGTCACGTGCAAATCTCATTGCATAAGCAAAAATGATTAATCGAGCAATTATAAACGAAGCATGGGGAGCATGTGGAATTCATAGAAATAACTACAATGCAGAGTAGCTAAGGTAGTTAAGTTAGCGATTCAAGGTAATAATCTGTAATTTTAAACACATTGCAAGGTGTGGGTAGACACAATTCACCCACACGGGTATAAGAGCATCGATCCAAAACGTTCTGACAAGCGAATGGGATAAAACATTGCAGCACTCATCTCTTACAGAGTTCAAATCTCAGTCGATGGTTGACCCGGCTAAATCACTTCTCTTCATGGTCAACGAAATGAGTAACCCCCGTGTGTTAGATCGCCAGCGGTTGTTGCGTACAGAAACCAGACCCTAACATAGGACATGTGAAATCTCTCCACCGCTGGCTCGGTTGCACTAATGTAGACGAACACCACCAACCCAACCCAACCCCAACCCATTGGGCATGGCAGTCCCTCTGAAGTGTCTCCTTCAGATTGTCAAATTTTTAAACAGAGGACACGGAAGCGAGCGGCGAGCGTCGTGACGCAAATTGCCTTGGCCAAGTCCGCGCGGGTGGCGGCTCTCCCTGTCTCTCTCTCTCTTGTCTTCATTAACGGCGGGAGAGACGCCCCCGTCAGCAGTGACCGACTCCTCTCCCCCCCCCTCCACCGAAAAGCCTGGCAAATGTCAATGGGATTTGTGGCGGCCAGGCAGCAGGGAGCGCCCATGGGGGACATGAGGGTGACAGGCAGCCCGAGGCTCAGTTCTGGTCGTGCGGGGAGGAGGAGGAAGCGGCAGAGGACCCGGTGCCGCAAGTGACCAGGGCCTGGGGGCCCGGGGACGCGCGGCCCCGTCCGCCGGAGCCCCGTGTCGACAGCGCCCCCGAGTCGGCCCTGCCCACAGGTCAGTGCTTGCCGTCACCCCCCCCCCCCCCCGCCGAAAGTTGCCGCGTTGGACGAGTAGAGGAGAGCGGGGGGGATGGTGGCAGTGAGTAGCGTAGTCACCTGGCTCGCATGGGTCCTGGGACCTCCCCCTGTCCGATTTGCAACCGCGTCGTCGTAGTCCATCGAGTACGTGGAGCCTGACGCGGCTGCACCGCCTGCACACGCTTAATGGCTACGCCGCTGGGTCTTGTGTTAGTTCGCCGGTTCTGTATACTTCTGCGGGGTCCCTTTGCGAGTCTGTGAGTCTACCGGTCTACGTGTGGGACAACAAGTCCTATGGGTCACGATGTAAGTCTTTGGGTCTCAGTGGCCAAGTAGGGCGGTCGGCATGAGCCCCGATGCAAGGACTGAAATGGGCCTTCCGCTGTCTGAATTCCAACCCCAATCGTCGTGACCCACCGCCTCCGGCCCCTTGTGGTCCACGGGCCCCAGGACAGTTGCACCGCCTCCACAGGTGGTAGCTACACCACCGCGTGGCACACAGAATGTGTCAACTCAGCCTCAATTGAGTACCTGGAGGTCTGTGAAAAAGAGCGTCATAGCTCATCATATTCCTCCAGTATAGACAAATATTCTGATTCTGGTGCGGTGTCTAAAGATCGCCACGAGGGAGACAGGCGGCCGGGCATGGTGCTGGCCACCCAACCCCTCGTGTGCCGTGCCGGCCTTCGTAGGTGCTCGATAACAGCACTTGCTCCTACAGTCTGTTCAGGCTACACGGGTGATCTTTGGTGCTGCCGACTGCTGTGGTTTATGTTGGTCTTGGATGGGTGAACATTGTGCAGAGTTAAGTGCCTGGCCGAGGAACTGTGTTCTTGCTCTAAATGCTTTGTCCTCCATGGAACGATTGTAATTATAAAACCTACGGTGCTCAGGAGGCATTGTCATTTATTTCATGATAGGAAGGAAAGTTATTGGCCGGCGGGTCTCTTTACAATTTGGCATTTTCCCAATAACCTTAATTTCATAAGCAAGGTGAACTCGATAATTGGTTCTTTACCCTTCTATCTGGCAACAAAACTGACACCTTTTTGCAAGGAGTCATGTTTGCATAGACCGCAATACCTGCAGTCATAATAGAAACAAAAGAACATAACTCTGATAATGTGCACTGTCCTTGAAGTTGATTGGTCCACACCCGAGACAGCTTTCCTTCGAGCCTAGTCTCATATGGGTTGGACCAGATGACGCCAAAAGGCGCACAACTCAAGGACAATGCACCATCAGAGTATGAGAGCTCGGGGCAAGCATCTACACTATGGGGACCTCATTTGCCAGTAAAAATATGATAATTGGTTCTTTACCCTTCTATCTGGCAACAAAACTGACACCTTTTTGCAAGGAGTCATGTTTGCATAGACCGCAATACCTGCAGTCATAATACAAACAAAAGAACATAACTCTGATAATGTGCACTGTCCTTGAAGTTGATTGGTCCACACCCGAGACAGCTTTCCTTCGAGCCTAGTCTGACGCCTTTTGGCGTCATCTGGTCCAACCCATATGAGACTAGGCTCGAAGGAAAGCTGTCTCGGGTGTGGACCAATCAACTTCAAGGACAGTGCACATTATCAGAGTTATGTTCTTTTGTTTGTATTATGACTGCAGGTATTGCGGTCTATGCAAACATGACTCCTTGCAAAAAGGTGTCAGTTTTGTTGCCAGATAGAAGGGTAAAGAACCAATTATCATATTTTTACTGGCAAATGAGGTCCCCATAGTCAAGGTGAACTCGTTCCGGTTTATATGTCTCAGAGTCTTATTAGCAAAGTATGGCCTCCTCAACCAAAGCCACTGGGTGCCCCTTGACATTAAGGATGCAGGAACTGTCACCCAAAAACAACATTTAGTCACAGGTTGAATCGCAAGAAAATACCCCAAAAGGGTTTCACTCGTAACAAAAGAATCGCTGGAATAAATGCACACAGGACACGTAGGTAGGGTAGGGTTTGCCTAACCACGAAACATACCATTTAATTCATTTCACTGTGACCGTTACAGTCTCGCGCCCTTCTTGGCATCTTGCGAATGTCTGCCCGTCCCACCCCAAATGTCTTGTCTCATCGCGTCCATTGCGTCCGCACCGCCGCTCGCTTCCCATCTCACGCCGCCGTGTGCTGTTGTTGCGTCTGCCATCAGGAGTTAGCCCTCTGCATTGCAATCATGGCTGGACTGCTCATTCTGCTGCAGCTATGGACTCAGGTTGAGAAGGCCGTGGCTCTCACCCGCTCTGCCATCCCATGGACATAGGTCCACCCATCATCAACATCATCATGACCATCACCATCATCGCCAGGTACTCGACCCAGAGCCATGAGGAGTTAAGTGCCGTGTACCTCGATCAGGCCCTCTCATGCTGACTGAAGGATGCTCATTGGCAACCCAGTAAACGTTGAACGTTAGACCAACGTTGATCCAACACGTGCCAACGTTGACCGAGCGTTACGTGTTTACTGAGAAAGCATGGGGGCAGTGTGATCGCGTATCTCCACTACTTCTGTTTACGTGTAAACCCACATCATCTGCTGCGTAAATCCAAGCGCGGAATTAAGGTTAAAGGAGTCACATTACATTTGGCTCCAATATTTATTGCCGGTAATTTAGTCCACCATACATTCCATAATTCGTAAAATGATAATACTGCTTTGTGTTAAATCGAAAGCACCTGCCATGTGGATAACTTTTATTGTGCTACTGCTTTGGCAGCGGTGCACAACCACAAATATCACGAAGCTCAACCGCGTACGTGTTGAGTTTTTGTTTTGTGGCAAAACTATCTCTCTTCCATATAAATGTCGAATTCCCATGACTGGCAGAGTTCAGTTCGTGTATTTGTTATAGCCCTGTGAGACATTCGGCTCTTGAATTGGGTGCAACCGCAACAAACAAAAACATGAACAAGAAACATCCTAAAGTGACTACGCGCAAATAGAAAAATACAGGAAAAAACAGCAAAGTCTTCCAGAAAAAATCACCGCATTTCAATGCTGTGTGCAAAAATCCCAGTGGGATGCAAGTCAAACAATAACCATAAGACAATTTATATTAAAGTTATCAGTGTAACTCTGTACTACAACAAACAAATATGGCTTAACTAAAAGTTTTACAAATGACCAAATAATGCTATAAAAACAATGTAACGGTGATCATAGGAACTGTGATTACATAACATGTACGACCAAACTTTACAGCCATAGCTGGCAACATGAGTCACTCCATAACAGTAGGAGTATCAGTAGGCGTATCAAACATTTTCAATGCACCTTGAAAGATCACACTATAACGAAAAAAAATCTCAAGATCATACTTTGCAACGAACATCCGGAGCGATACATTTGATTTGAGGCCACTGATTAGCAGTGACAAGCTCGGGGTGTACAAGTCCTCTAAGGGCCACAAATGGAGATGAATACTGCCCCCTATTCATCATTTGAGCGGGGAGACAATTTGACTTCTTCACCAGGCCAATCAAGAATAAGTGGCTGTCCTTTGTACAACAGCCATTAACTATACTACGGCCTATCATCGAAAAATTAGATATTGTAAAAAAAACGAATGGCAATTAAGGCGCTGGCTATATCATTCAGGGGTGGAGCGGTGCCGCAGTGGTTAGCGCACTGCTCTCTTGTAACCCGCTAACCTGAGTTCAACTCGCGGCCACGGCTAACATCAGTGGCGAGTGGTATTTGAGCCAGCCATGGTTATCCCCTACACCAGCACGCGCTGTCCAGTTTAGTGAATAATGGCCAAATAAAGCCCTATATCCCGACATGGTGTGGGAAGGCATTCAGCCAGCAGTGGAATTAAATAAGGCTGTATGCAGATGACCACATTCAAGCCAGCACATTTACCGGTGATAGGACGTATTTTAATGGGTTATGAGAGGGCCCATAATCCATTAATTCACGTACCACTGGCCCCTTGTGCCTTGTTTCCATGAACCCGGTTTGCTACATCATGTGTTGATGTGGCTCCTGGTTTTTAAGCCAGCAGCCCCTTCCGGCAGAGCAGACTGAGCAGCCTCCATCTCAGTGACAGGGCCCAATTAAAAACTCGTATCAGGTTTGACCTCAGGTGCTGAAAACCGAGAGGTTATCTCATTGCATAAGGACGCCGCCTAACAAAATGCCATTACCATTTTCATTCCACTAACCATAGGTGAACGATGCACCACAGACTGACCTTTACTCGGAAATTTTAGAGAGGAAGTATGGTGAAAGGTAGTCTCTGAGAAAAATCACCTTCATTGGCCTGCTCCCACTCCTCATATTAGATCCCAGGAACAGCTTGTTCCAGTATGGGAATGCGTCTAACAGGAAGGTGGTTCACATCAGAGCTGTGTAAAAGAAGCGCAGGGATCCCCATGAACACTGTCAAGTCTGCCCACTTATACATCGGTTACACTCGGGGGCATTCTATCCGCGCTTACGGTTCATTTGGCAGTTAAGTCTCACCTGGGTCTCACCGTGTCCAGCCACGCTACCGCACCACTTGCAATCGGGCATTAAAATGCAGTCGAAGCTCTATATAAGCACATCCGATCAAATAAGCGCAGTTCTGACACTGTATAAGCAACACATGCTGGAGACAGATGGCAAAGGGCAACTTCAGATACAAGCACAGCTGTCCTTACTCCTAGGGGGTTTGCTTATTTGCGGCCCATACTGCATTGAATTGAATTTCAAGTCAGGCTGTTATCACTGGCGCGTGTGGATGAATCATCACCCCTTCCGCCACTTTAGTCGTCCTAAAGTATTGTCGAGCGAGGCTGTAATGAGCTGCCGATGTTAACACTGTCCCTGAGAATTCCGCACCGAATCGCGGTGCCAGTAACGCTGCTACTGCAGCCTTGAATTTGTCTTCATATTGACATCTTTGTTGCTGCAAGGTGTGCCGCTGACGAAACGTTTGATCGCAGTGCTCGTGTGTTCTCTTCGCCAGGTGTAGATATGTCCGAGTTTGAGTTTTGAAGTGAAGAAAGCTGCCAAGGAAAATGCAAGGGAATTATAATGTGACGTCAAAGGAGCCGCGATTGTCACAAGAGCCTTGGACGCCGAACGTCAATCACCTCATCCTGCTTTTGATTTTAGAGTTCGTGTTTAACCGTTTTGTTATCATATCTGCTTGGCAATCTGTTGATCCACTGGGGGGGGGAAGTCTTTACAAATGGCCTACCGAAGTTTCAGCTTCAACTTTGGATTTCATGCAGAGCACAATGAATGTTTGGCCTTGGATAAGCACGAATGGTGGTGTAGAAATGTGCACGTGATGATAATCTGCGTTGACGGCAACCAGGGTCGCCAACTTTTACACAGTAGACCAAACCCAGACACAGCTCTCAGTCTGCCAAGGTCCATCGTCAAAACTGTTGCAATTTACTGCAATGAGGTTCTATACGATTTCGATTTAAAGCTTTCGTGACTGCAGGGATTCATCTTCTTGGTTCCATCGGTAAAGTCACGTAGAAGAGAAGTAATAAAATAAAACATAATAAATAATTATTTTGTTATGTTTTATTTTTATTATTTTATTACTTCCGTTCTATACGATGTCACCAGATCTCGGTGCAGCATAAAATCCTGCCAACCGACACAACCACTTGCCAGACTGTCAAGTCTGTACAGGTGTTAACCCGAATGGCAACAGCATGTCCATGTAAATTATTACATACGACGCCCTTTGCTTGTGTTACACTACACAGGGTCGATGGCTTCAATTCTCACCCGATATGTTCCGGAACACTGCTAGGCTGACTTAGAGCATGAACTATCGGAGTAAAGGAACTACCACTAGATTACAAGGTATGGCACATACAAAATAATCCTATATTATTGCACCCCATATTCAGAAGGCGATTAGGTTTATACCTTTCCAGGCTCAAATAAAAGTAACACAACTCTGTAGAAAGTCAACAGTGGTCATTCATACCAAATGTCTGTCCCCCTGCCATGAGAATGTGGAATTTCCACCATTGGCTCGAGGTTGGCAATGGAGATAAGTACTCCCCCATTGCTTGTTTGGGCAAATACATTTGAACATGTTAAGTGTAACCATGTGTGGTAGCGCACACCTGTGAAGAAGTCGGTTTGATTGATGAGTCAGCACTCGCTGATTCACTAAAGTCACCCGTTTATCGGCAATAGTCGCCTCCTTGTCACTCTACTATCGATACTGCCGTGGTCACAGTTCCCATCAACTTCACGCATTGATTCCTCGCCACCGTTTTGTGTTCAACCAGCACACTGCAAGTCACCAACTTATCCACTCGCCACACTGCAGGTCACAACAACTCACCCACTCACCACACTGCAGGTCACAGAAACGCACCCACTCACCACACTACAGGTCACAACAACTCACCCACTCTCTCGCCACACTGTAGGTCACAACAACTTACTCACTCACCACACTGCAGGTCACAACAACTCACCCATTAACCCACTCACCACACTGCAGGCCACAAAAACTCGTCCACTCACCACACTGCAGGTCACAAAGCTTGTCTTTCAGCTTCTTCCCTCGAACTGCTCCACTTTGGAATTCCCTTCCGTAGACTCTTTTCCCAAATTCTCACAAGCTTGCTCAATAAATAAATAATCCAGCATCTTGGAGTTGGATTGTATTATAACATGTCGAGATGGGTCCTGAAAAGTGCAACAGTCACAGCTAAACACTGCTGGCAACTTAAAATCAGTCTTATGTGTTCGCCGATGAATCGTGCCGGAGTGATATGTTTATCATGTATTTGAGTGCCGTGTTTAGATAAGTTGTATTTCCCCTGCTCATTCCCATTCAGAACATGTGTTTTTCTTATTAGGCGTTAAAAACACAAACGCACACGGACCTGCGTGTGTCAATCAACTGACACAGCATGACGGAGGCCTTCATCCAGCGGTAGATTGGCGATAGCTGGACATTATTATCGTAATAATATGAAACACGAAACGGCTAACAACAGCGGCAACAACCATAGTTCGCTTAAAATATTCCAAACACAACGTCATCTTCCATCCAGAGTTCTTCTTCTCCAAACGTGTAGAGATATGCCGAGCTCGTTCAGTGCTGTGCTGCACGAAGCGAATCCGCGAGGGGTCCCGCGCAAGTTGCACGAGTGAAGGGAACTGCGGGGCTGTTGTGCTCACGACACTTGTCAAGAAGCGTGACACGTGGTGGACTTTGGTCATCACCCACGGGCTTCATTTCTCGTGGCATGATTTCTGGAGGCTAAACTATGAAACGATATTTTATTTTCATCATGGTAAGGCCCTCTGAGCTATCTAGTTTATTTTTTTCAGAAGTGCCCTGGCTATCACAAACGATAGCTCAACGAAGTGGCTTATTACGTGGACATTTATTGAAGTCAAATTATCTAAACGCGTGTTGTTTCTAAATGTGGAGGGGAGGGGGGGGGGAAACTGGGGGTACCGGAGAAAAATCCACGCCACCACGGTGGGAGAGAGACACGCAAACTCCTAATATACATATTCCTAATATACAGCAGCAGGCGTCAGGGTCGGGATCGAACTCACGACCTCCTGCATGCCAGGTGAAATAGTTAACATCTCACCACGGAGAGAGAGAGAGACACACAATTGAACTCACGACCTCCTGTATACCAGGCGAGGCAGTTGACATCCTGGCCACCGTGGCGACCCCCCTAAAGCCCCCAAACCGTCTGGACCCCCGTTCCGACCCCCCTCCACCCCACCCCGGAGTTGAGCTGTAGACAGCTCCAGCTGAAATGTCGCCCTGGTCATCACAGTTTGGCAGACCCCCAGCTTGAGTCGGATGTAGACTACTGGTTAAGAGAAAGGGATGTTTCAATTGTTTTTTTATCCGAGCGTGACGAGGTGGCGAGAACGATGTGTCGGAGAGAAAAAGAGGAAAATTGTGGAATCTATTTTAAGAGTTGAATGGAAGAGGCGGAGGTACAAGAAAGTGCCTTGAAATGTAAAGCAATGAGATTCATGTAAAAAAAAGAGCAAAAATAATTGGGCATTAATAATAGCCAGATCTCATCACTGTGTTACGATTCGTCATGCAAAAATACGTAAAATTAATTATAATAACGAGTTTCCAAATTGTTGACGTAGTTGCTTGTGCCTATTGGCGATCAAGTAATTTGTGTGGGTTTTTTCTTCCGTGCGTGTTTATGTGCTGCAGCTGAAATAAAACTATGACATCGCAAGTCCTTAAAACTCGAGTCATGTTCCGTTATTGCCTGTTTGAGTATTTCGTCACATCAGAGGCAGATGCGAAGAAGGTGCAGCAGTTGAAACGAGCGTCTCATGGGAGTCTGAATATCTCGCCGTACGAGGAGAGAGGAAAACTTCGTGTAAATGCGCGGTCTTGAGTGGCGTGCTAATTGTTATCATCGCGCAACTGACAAACACGAGGACTTCGATCGGCCCAGGTAAAAAATGTGCGTGCGCACGTACGCTGAACGTCTTCCCCACCGTACGTAGTAGCCAACCGTGCGAATCGGAGTTGCGGGATGTCCAGAATAGACGGCTCGTTCGAGAGCCAAAGACCGCACCTCCTGGCTTCGACATCGTCGACTGGGTGGAACCATCAGCCGCATGAGAACATCAACAGACCACCGCGCACATCTCCTTCATGAATTAAAAATTAAAGACACTATGTGTGTTGAACTTCTTTCGCACCGTACGTAGCCAACCGTGCCACTCGGAGGTGTGGGGGCAAGCACAACAACAAACCCAACGCACAAAAATAACCTCTGTTTAGTCTGTTGTCCTATGCAGCATGTAAGGTTTCCCCGGATGAGAGATTTCCCAGATACAGATCTCCCACGGTGGAATCTGCCACCTCAACAAACAGGACGACCGCTCTCCCCCCCCCCGAGAAAACCTGGACAGGTGGAAACCCACCACAGAACAACTCGCTGTGCTTCAATCGGCCTCTATCCATCCACCACGATCCCCTTTCACTCAACCGCGGTGCACCGCGCGTCAATCGAGCCGCATCGGGCGTCATCGCTGTCCGCCGGATTTTGTTGAAGCCAATTTCAAGACCGACCCTTGCGCTCCTTGGTTGGACGTCTCCGCTGCACCGCGGCTACGCTGAGCAGCAGCGGCGATAACCACCGCGGTGCAGCTGGAAGGGAGATTCAGCACCAGAACCCTCGTTGGTGCTGGCTCACCCCCCCGACCCCTCACGCGCTCCAACATGGCCATGATAAGCATCTTGAGCCACCCGGTCACCCCCTTATAAAGGTGCAGCCCTGCAATTGCTTGCGAACGCCACTGTTGACAAAAGGGCGTTCATTAGAATGAGCTCTAGAGAGCCGTGGTAGAGGTTATTTGACCTACTCATCATAAAGGTATGTTTTTTGTTATTAGATCGCGTAAATATAAATATGTCGTTAACCCATCACCGCCTGACACAGCCAATTAGTAATATTTGTCACGTGAACAAAGCGTGCCAATTTGTTACTACTTCAGCACACCGGTGCGTTGAAGAGCAAAGCCACAACATTTACAATTTGAGTTCGATGTTTCGCTGGTGATTTCAACCAGCTTAATCACAATTTTTTTGCGATTTGCCAGAATTGTGTAGAAGACGTATTTATATGTATGCGATTTGACCCATAAACACCTTTATTATGAATAGTCCTTCTCTTCCTCTCCGGACAATCGTCTTTAATGAGGTGGGCGTTACCCATCCCAGTACACATATACAGTCTATATGTACTGTATCGTTTATTGTGGCGTTTAAAATTCTGCAATTTCTTCAGCATGAAGTGATGTCACACTTCACACCTAATGGCCGACTCACGCTGATGGACATTGGAGAGCATTTTGTTTGTTTATTCACTGGACACTTGAAATTAATTAAAACTCAACTTCTAAATTGCGTTTATTAAGCCGTGTGTCTCTCGCAAGCCGATTAAAGATGAATTGCCCAGACCGGCGTGCAGTTTAAGTGAGACGTCGTAAATGCCGAAATAATTTCTCAAAATGCATGTCCTCTGCATGTGTAATGTAGCTCTGAGAGAAGCCGTCTTGTCTTCTGTATGTTTATTAAGAACTAGCGGGAAGTACCCGGCGTTGCCCGGGTTTTAAAAAATATTTCAAAACTACTCTTAAAAATGTAACTGCAGTGCGTACTGACTGTGGTGGGACCTGCTATGATTACAGCAGTGCATACTGTAGTGGTACCTGCTTTCACTGCAGCAGTGCATACTGTGGTGGTACCTACTATGATTACAGCAGTACATGCTGACTCTATAGCAGTATTTATCGACTGTATAGCACAAAGTACTCATCTGTCAGAGTGGCGTGGTGAGGCCTAGTCCCGTGCAGAGCCTCCGGCCTCGCCTAGATTATCCAGCCGGCCAAGGTGGCACCTTGGCAGGCTGGGGTTGGGCTGCTACCCCTGCCCCCCCAGCCACGATCTCCTCGGCCGCTCTGCAGTAATATCTACGGCCTATAGTGGTAGCATCTAGCAAATTTATAGTAGTAATCACTGCATGCATCAGGGTGGGGGGGACATCACGCAGTGAAGAGTTTACCTGAGCGTTTAGTGTATTTTTAAAGAATTTTTAACGCGCAATAAAATGTCCCCTTCACTACCAGCGTGCGACTTGGCATGAGCCGTCTCCCCCACCAAAGGCGCGTGAGTTGGGATGGTCATGTACATGAATAAATAAAAAAATGGAAGTGCACACAAATCGCACTAAATGGCTAATTAAACTAATTTAAAGTTGACGGATATGAAAAAGGAATAGCACTTGTTCACCGCGGGGCTTACGGCGTGGTACCTGGCTATTTTTTTTACGTTAACCCCACCGTTGCAGAGCCAAGCGCGCGACCATACACAAACCCACACACAATTTTGACTTCTCCATCTCCATATATATAAAAGGCAAAGTTGTGATTATGTGTGTCTGTTCAAAATGTTTAGCGTATTTCCCGACATGCAACAAATTGAAATTTGCCATGTGGGTACTTTCCAGACTGTACACCATGCAACAATTATAAAAATAAAAATAAAAAAATTTGGGGGGGGGAGCTCAATAATGCATATATTTTTGTACGGCAAGTGAGCTGTGACATCAAATCTGTCATGTGACCCGCGCATGTGGAAGCGTAACGCATTGTAGTGTAGTGGTTAGTGCTCTGCGTTACGAACCTGGCGACCCGAGTTCGATTCCCGCTCATGGCCAACACCAGTGACGATTATCTGAACCAGTCCTGGGTCTCCCTAGGTCGACTCAGCCTCAAGTGAGTGCCTGGTGCAGTGTGTAATCATCGACACTGGGGAGACAAAGGCGGTTGGGCGTGGCGCTGGCCACCAACCCCCTCGTGTACCGTTCTGGCCTTCATAGATGCTCGCTAATAGCACTTGCCCCTATAGTCTGTTCAGGCTATGTGGGGGATCTTTGTCTTTGTTGTCAGGCGCTGGACTCCTGTGGGCAGAAGAATAGAATTCCGCTGAGGCGCAATGAATAAAAACGACCTCACAAGGTGGAAAATAGAGTTTCAGACGTGACGGGTGCACGTACCAACGTCTGCGACCAACTTGGAACTGCACGCACTGCGGCCTCTTGACCTCAACCGCCTCAACCTGGCCCTGCCATTGCTTATGTAATTTGGGGGACGTACCTACGGGCACCTGGGGGCAATGCAGCCATGCCTTGTCCCTAGGTTTCCATGAGTTTCCGGATTCCCTAAGCCCCACCAACTTTTCATTTGCGGCCTCCTGTTTGGCCGAATTTCCCCACGATGCCTCCCGAGCTTCTGTAAATCGCTAACGGCAAGGTACATGGGTGTAGGCATCTCAACCTTCTTTCTGGCTGGTTTCATGTCTAACTGAGCCTCCATGGGGGGGTCGCATTCCCTCCCATACATGAGGAAAAATGGAGAGAACCCGGTGGAGGAGTGAGAGGGCCATTCTCTACGCAGCGAGAACACCCGGAACATGCAAGTCCCAATCAGACTGCGCCTCTTCTTGGTTCTTTCGGTAAAGTCACGTAGAAGGGAAATAATAAAGTAATATTATGTTTTATTTTTATTATTTTATTATTTCCCTTCTACGTGACATTACCGATAGAACCAAGAAGATGAATCCCTGCAGTCACGAAAGCTTTAAATCGAAATTCAGACTGCGCCTCGTTGACCTGTTGGCAGAGCATGGATGTGAGAGTCCTGTGCAAGCGCTCTCCCATCCCGTCAGTCTGGGGATGGTAGGGGTGACGTCTGGATCTTTTTAGTACCGAGGGAGTCACTCACCTCTTTCAATAAATTAGAAGAGAAATTTTGACCCTGGTCGGTAAGGAGTTGCTCCGGGGCTCCTTTGTCCAAAACATATCCGCGTAGGAAGGCGTCCGTAATGGACGCGTCCGACTGATCCAGCAAGGGCCATGCCACTGGCCACCGGGACAAGTACTTCCCCTTAGATGGACTGCAACGTCGGCCGGGCCTGCCTTGGCGGGGGCTTGCGACGAGCACACTCAACATGTTATGGACATCCTCCGACATTCTGGACCAAAAAAAGTCGCGCTTCAGGGTCAAGAGAGTTTTATGCACCCCGAGGTGCATCGACCGCACATGGACAGCCCGCATTATCCTGCCCCGCAGAGCAGTCGGTATGACGATGCTGTAACGCTGCATCTCGATGCCCAACTTCAGCAGCAGGCCATCACGGAGGACCACGAGGGCCATACCTGCTGGTCTTTTCCTACCGTATGTCGCTCCGATGCACCGCCGCATTTCTAGGAGGGAGGCATCCTCCAGCTAAATGTCCCCGATACGTATTGTAGCTGATTTCTGGCCCACAATGCCCAGGCCTACCCACAGACGAAGACAACCACAACTCGACACCTTGCACCAACCCTACAACCGCGGGCGATCCCGCCGCCGCCGCCGCCACAATACGTTGCTTTAACGCGGTCCAATGCCCCGGACCCTGCGGCCATCCAACACCCGCCAAAGTCCGACTTTCATCCGCTACGACACGACAAGAAGTGGCGGTGTGTGAGCCCGATATGATTTGAGATGAGGATGCGTGAAGTGACTGTATCGGCTGTGTCACGACTTTCCTTTGGGCTCCAAAAAGCAGAGGACGGCCAGGCGGAAGACGACGAGGGTGTGAAGGGCTGTCCAGGGTACTCAGATTGTAAATGTTGTGGCTTCGCTCTCCAACACACCGGTGTGCTGTACTAGTGACGAATTGTCAT